TCTTTCAGCTGCGCAAACAGTTAAAACTACTCAAGGACAGCCTAACTTTAGCTCATGGAGCGACGTCCTCACCCGTGTTCACGGTCTCCCATGACCGAAGGGGGGTGACGCCGGTTAGGATAATGCTACCAGACGCGATAACATGATCAGATCTGACATTCAGAGTGAGTGGCGCACCGAAACGTCGTTTTCTAGTTGCTTAATCACTGCTTTTGTCAATGTTGAAACGTTGTTTAACTGGTTGCTTAGTCACTGTTTTTGTCGATGTTGAGACATCGTTTAATTGGTTTTTGGTATTGTTTTTGAACACCCCAGGCAAGAATGAATTTTGTTGTGTAGTTAAGTTAGAGACTAAGAGGCCTTTAACCATGCCAACATGCAGTTCATTCATTAAATTGCAATCTTTGCGGAGTCAATGTATATTATGGCTACCTTAAGTACCATAATCTACATTGGTCTCACAACGCTTAAGCCGAACCTACTCGAACAATTCTATTCGGGGGGATAGCTAATTCTTTTTGATGAGTCTCGCCATAGACTTCCAAAAACATTTATGGGGAAACCAAACACCCAATCTCAAGTCGTTCGTCTAAAAGACAACAGACAATTGAACCAAACTATATTTTGCCATGTAAAGCTAACTTAAACCAAGTTAGAAATGGAAAAATAGTTTGGAACCCTTTTCTATAGGTATAAACCCCTGTAGTTACCCTTTTCAGCATTTTCCACCCCTTAACTGGTAGTTGTAGCTGTTCCCAACCATAATAGCTTACACACCAGGTGCATATAGTATGTTATGTAAAATCCCCTTCATAAGCCCACCTTAAACCACATAATTGCATGGCACATTGAACCAGAACGGCACAGGCTGGACGTCGCCCAGAGACGACCTTCGCTGGAGGCGACCTGCAATCCTGACGTTGGTCTCCACTCTTCATCCAGTGGCCGCATCTTCAGTTCAATCCAAGGGTACCCCTCTGTATGCTGATTAATCAACACTTCCAATCGTTGTGGATTTACCGTTGTGGATTATATGACTTTTTCCAGTGGATTACAGACTCTGTTTCCAAGGGGTTAAAGCATTGCTACAATGGAATTACCAACAACATTATGGAATTATCATCAACACAATGGAATAACCAAGAACATTGTGGAATTACCTTGACCTTTGTTTTCCTTGCTGGATTACTTTTGACTTTTGTTTTCCTTGCTGGATTACTCTTGACTCTTGTTTCCTTGCTGGATTACATCAAGCTCAAGGACATTCGAAGGCGAAAGTTTATGTTTGGAATTCATCCCCATGGACAGGCGATGATTTCCAAAGGGGGGACTGTAGTGGACTAGGCCTGATGTCAAAACTGACCAGATGGACAGAAACTGTCATTTCATTGATTTGAATCCAGAAATACAGTTTGACCCATCCTGAGACTTTCTTTCTTGAATTAATCAAGTGGAAAAGACAATTCTCTATGATCATTACTATTTTACAAATGTTTTGATAATCAAATTGTGTTAGTTCAAACAATGTTTACATGTTGAAGTGAACTACTCATTTTTATTAACTGTGAAACAGTAAATAATGATCCTTAATCCTCATTCAAAGAAGAAATCAGGTTAATATGCATTTCTTGATTTTCTGTCTTCAATGAGCAAAGTTGTAAGTATGTTAAAGTTCAAGCTTCGGTCAACTAGAAAGTTTACTGAAAAGAAATGTCATGTTTAACTTTTACAGCGAGATACAGGAGAGGTGGCTCCACGAAGTCTGGTTTTTCCATGATATCTTTCTGTCTGTTCTTAAACAATCCTTGACTTTCCATAACACCTTACATCACAAACCACACCTCTGCTTTGGTCCATCCACCAATCAAAAAGCTCTCAAATGAACCGGAAGTGACCCTTCATAAAAAGGTTGGCACTTCCTAGTTCAAAGAGAAGAGTTCCAGAAGAGTTCTGGTAGAGAGTTCAACTCAGTCTTGAAGCTGCTGTAAGCTCAGTCTTGAAGATGGAGCAGCAATTCAGAGAGCAGAAGAGTTCAGAGAGTTCAGAGTTCTTGGAATCCAGAATGCAGAGAGTTTGGGAGTACCTGAATGCATACGTAGGCATTCATGGATGCTGCTAAACCAAACAAGCTGAACCAGAGACGATTTTGGGAATTATAACTTCTGTTTGGATAACCTCGCACGGCTCTCGAGGTATTTGGCTGTTCTCACGGAGACGCTGAACAGTGGTTGGAAGTGAGACTCCACGCCGGAACTGATCTATCTTCAGAAAAGGTAAAAGTCGACCTTCACCAAAAGTGTACTGTTGGGACAAGCTGATTTCCGAAGGAGCGTGCACGTTCTGGTTAAAACAGACAAATTCCCTCACACATCTCTCTGTAAGATAAATCTCAATTTTCCATCTTTAAACTCTCCTTTCTGCTAGAAAATTAATCCAGATGTTTTCATTAATGTCTGTGGTGAAGCAACGGAAAATCATGGCCGTATGGTTTTCCTGGTTGTAAAGCTGATTAATTATGTTGTTGTTTTCATATTCTGCCAAATTAATGTAAATGTGTGATGTGTTAAACTTGATT